GGTAAGGCGGGCAAGGCCGGCGCTGCCCCGCCCCGCCCCCGCGGGGTCCAAGCCAGCCAGGCCCAGGCCCGCCACGCACCCACCTCCCATGCCTGCCCCCCAGACTCCTGCCAAGTGAGCGCCAACATGACGGTCCTGAGGCTGGGGGCCTGCGCCACTGAGGCGGAGGTCAGCGTGCCCTTCTGCAAGGGCTCCTGCCCGGGCGTGTCCAGGTGAGTGGCCCCCACTGGCAGCCCCAGGTGACACCCTGCTGCAGGAAGGAGGGAAGGGTGCCCAGGCCGGCCCACAGAAGGCCTGGGCCCCAGACCCCCAGGGCCAGGCTGGCTGGCTGAGCTGGGCTGAGCTTCCCAGTGGCCTGAGGGGCAGGCAGTGCGCCCCGGGGGGTGGCAGAACCCCAGTCCCTGCCGCGAGTGCCCCCACACAGGGCAGCCCCTGGGCCAGGGCTGTGGCCAGCTGAGGCCTCGCCAGTGTGTGTGGTCGGGGGGCGGCTCCAGGAACCGGGGGAGCTCTCGGAGGGTCTGCCCCGGCCAGCAAGCCCGAGAAGCCTGTCTGGGAGAGGGGCTGGCCGGGCGCGGCCCTGAGCCCAGACCCAGGCCGCTCTCGTGGGCGCTGTGGTGCCAGGTACTCCCCGGAGGCCCGGGCCATGCAGCGCCAGTGCGCCTGCTGCCAGGAGAGCAGAGTCCACCAGGAGGCGGCCACACTGCACTGCCCCAACGGCACCATCGTCCAGCACAGCTACACCCACGTGGACGAGTGTGGCTGTGCCCCGTCCTGCCTGCCCTCGCCCACCGCGCCCCCACCCTAGGCGCCGCCGCGGCCGCCCACCGCCTCGGCCTACACGCCTCCCGGCTGTGGCCAGCACGGGACCCCAACCTCAGGGTCCACAGGAGCCCCCCCAAGCCGGGGTCAGCCTGAGGGGTGCGGCCAGGGCCCGACCCTCTGCGCCCCTCCTGGCTGCCCACGGTGACCCCGTCAGGACCCTGAGGGCCGCCTCCCAGGCAGGGCCCCCGGCCCCTGCCAGCCCCAGCCTCGGGGCGCCACCCACCAGCTCCACAGCCGGACGAAGCCTCCAGTGGCCAGGGCAAGGCCTGGGGCCCTGGGGCGGAGCGGGGCCAAGGGTGGGCAGCGGGCCGGAGCCCGCAGGGCCTGCGCCAGCCCAGCCCCGGGAACAAATAAACGCCGAGCAACGTGTCCAGCCGCCCCGCCCCTTCCTGCCGCTGCCCGCTCGCCGGCACGCTGCGCCGCTCAGGCCCTGGCCTGCACCTCGGGGCGCAGCCGCACTG